CTCACTGGGGGATTCTAGGCAGGGGCTCTACCACTGAGCCACACCCCAGCCCCTCACTGGGGGATTCTAGCCAGGGGCTCTACCACTGAGCCACATCCCAGCCCCTCACTGCGGGATTCTAGGCAGGGGCTCTCCCACTGAGCCACACCCCAGCCCCTCCCTGGGGGATTCTAGGCAAGTGATCTATCATGCTATACCCACAGCCCTAACAGTGGTTTGGATGGGACTTCTTATTTTCAAACATAACACATTTTAGTTATCTGTTTCACTACAAGCCAGGGAGTCTCCTGGGAGGTAAAGATGCTTGTGACTCATTCCTAAGTCCCTATATTCTGCCAGTGTCCTACACACAGGAGGCCTAGGGATGTTAGTGACCTGACTGCAGGGACAGAGCTGAGCAGGCAAAGAAGTGGAAGCGGGGAGAAGAGACCCAAGCCCAGGAGCTGGCCTAGAGCTGTGGGTCCATGGGCAAGTCAGGGTGGGAGGAGCCGTCCCCCGTCCCTGTGCACTGCCCAGCATAGGAGCTGCAGCACAGGCTAACTCTCGAGCAGACGAGGCCACAGGGCAACTCAGCTCATGAGAAGGAATTCCGAGATTTGTATTCAGCTTTGCACCTGCTGAGGGGATCCAGTGGAAAGATCCAGAATGAGGGCGGCTGGGAGGGAAATGAGCAATGTGGGGAGAAGTGCAAGGGGGTCTGGCCATGAGGGCAGGATGGGGCAGCAGGTGGCTGAGCATCAGCCTGACTGTGGTCCTGGGGCTGCACGAACTCAGACAGTGTCTGTGGCTCCCTCCTGGGGTGGTGGCATGGCCAGGAGAGCTGTCCACCTCTCCTCTGTCCTCTACTGTGCTGGGAGGCAGTTCCCCAGAAGAACTCAGACACAACTGGACCGGGAAAGCCAGGATGAATGTGGGGGATCTGAGCCGGGGGTGAAGGACGAAGAGGAGCTTTCCAGGTCATGGAAGAGAGTAACCCAAGATGGAGAGGAAAACGGCAACAAAGCCAGTAGACTGAGCGAGAAGCCCCAAGACCCTGTGCTGTGTGTGTGCTACCAAGCGAACGATGTGCACCTGCTGCGGGAGTCTCTGGTGGCCCTGGTGGGAGGGGACTGGAAACCATGTCCCCATGAAGGATGGCTGAGGCAACAGCCACCACAGGCAGGCCATGTGGTTAGAGCCCTGAGCTCCCAGGCCAGCTCTGCCAATCCTACTCACACTGTGACCCGAGGCATGCCATTTTGTCACTGTGACTCTCCAGCATTCTGCCTTGGCTGAGGGGTGACACTTGCCCTTTAGAGGTCATTGTTGGTGTCTGGGACAGATGCAACTCCCATTTATTGTCATGGGCTGAGCCTAGTATGAGTGGGGCTGTTCTAGGAAGAGCCCTCGTGAAGCAGAGTGCTGGCTGAGACCCTGCAGAATGAGGCCCAGGGGCAGGCCCAGTGTTCAGGAGAGTCCTGAAGGGGGTGCATCCATAATGAGATGGACCTCGTAAAACGGGTAAAGTCCCTGTAAGGACAGCCCCACAAGGGCTGGACAGTTCCCCTTCATAGACAGTTCCCCCAGGAGTGTGGGGGGAGATGGAAGGTGGTGTGAGAGGAAAGTGGTGAAAGATACCCTGAGGGAAGTTAAAAGGGTTTCTTTGCTACAGGATTTCCCAAGACTTTTACCACCTTAGAATGTGGTGAACCTAAGTGCTTGTAGAAGTGAGACAGGCAGGAGCAGGCTGCAGAGGATGACTGGGCTCCTCTGCACGGACTTTTTTCCTTTACTGGGGATTTAACCTAATCCTCTTGCATGCATATCAGGCAAGCACCCTACCACTGAGCCATGCCCCCAGACCCTCACTGGGGGACTCTGGGCAGAGGCTCTTACCACTGAGCCACACCCCCAGCCCCTCACTGGGGGATTCTAGGCAGGGGCTCTACCACTGAGCCACACCCCAGCCCCTCACTGGGGGATTCTAG